TTCAACGCAAAAATACAAGAATACCCTGAAATAATGATACGAAACCCAACTCCCTACAACACCCACTGAAATGCAACACAACCACCAGCCCACGTTCCCCAGCGCTGGAGACACAGTGCCAGGACTCGCTGAACTCGGGGATATGCAGGTGATGCCAGAGTTGCCTCTCTTCAGCTTTTTCACTTTCCCCACCTGCTGGCCATGCTGGAAAGCAGCACAGCACTAATACATTCTGTAAAAATACCCCGCTCGAGTGATTCTGCCCTCACACTGAGGTACTTCCACAAGCCATTAATGAAGTTTCTCTGCATTTTTTTACTGTTAAAAGTGAGATCAGCATCTGTGATGAGACACCCCTGTAAAAGAACAGTGAAAGAAAGTGCAAAAATACCTCATCAATAAAGCTTTTAAAAAAAAAAGACTTGTCTTTCTGGAAAGCATTCCCTATCTGCTTAGATTCCAAATACAAGAAAGAATATGACTGCTGGGCTAAATTCTGTATTTATGTTCACAGCATTATCAGATCATTGCTAACAAGTGATGTGTTCACTGTGGGGATTAAAGTCTCTGAAACAATCTGACAAAACATTAAATAAAATAGAAGGGAAAAAAAAAAACAAACACTACCAACATTGTTATGTCTGTACTGTTCCACAGTGCAACAGAAGTAAGTAATAGCAATTCCTGTATGGATTTCCTCACAATATGTTGAGAAATTCTTTTACCAAACAATGTTTAACTTTGTATTTAACAAGGCCTGAGTGATTAAAATATACAGAGAAGATACCCTAACCTTGAGAATAGATGTATTGTGGCAGAATTGCTCAAACAAGGCGGATAAGAAAGAACAGCTTAGCTGGACAGAGTTGGGAAACATGCAAGGAGAAGAAATTGTCCTCAAAAGACTCATGACCATAAAAGGGAAAAAGGACTAGGGGGCTAACTCCCCAAATCACCACCAACAACCACCCGAGACTCCCGTGCATGCACAGTGCAGTTTTGCAACGCCAGCATTACGTAAATGTAGTACATAGGCAGAAAGGTGGAGAGTTCTCAAAAAATGTATGGGTATTCTGAGGTATATAAAGGAAGAAGTTTTGTTTTACTGTGTGCATGTTATGAGGAATGATCCCCTATGCACCCAGTACCAAATAAAGAAATGCCTGCTGCTTAAACGCTACATTGGTGTTCACTCTGATTTTGGTGACAGATGCACCAAAGGCCAGTGAAGATATCATAGTGCTACAGAGCAAAAAAACATTACCCCTGAGAAGGCTACATGTTCAAAGAAAACAAAAAAAAGCATGATGTACTGGCAAAGGACGGGCAACCTGAAAACTCTGTTATCTCAATATTTTGTACTTGAAAAAAGGTCAAACAATTTTCCCTTCCTTTCTCAGTTCCATGTTGATTCACTGGATTAAAAACTACTCACATGAAGCCTACAATCCAAAGCAAAAAGACTCATTTCACAGCTGTTGTATCTGTGTGTACACCCCACTCATAATATCAATTATCAGTGTGGACAGTTTCCTTACTGCTATTACAGCAAAGCAATTACCAAAGTGTTAAAAATTCAGGGCAGGCTTTCCAGGAGAAGATTGCTTTTGATTCTGTATACAGTGTTTGGCTAGCTGTCAGACAACAAGACTGACTGGCAGCTCAAATGAGGGTGTTTTCACAGCATGGCAGGTGCTCTGAGCTCCAGCAGCCATCGCCTGCCCTCGAGCGTGCACAGCACCACGTACCTGGGAAGGGCTGAGTACACAGCTTGCTGCAGAGCACTGCCTGGCTCACCGAGAAACTAATGCAGATGGATCCACTGATCTCTGAATGAGAATTTGCCATGATGCTCCTGCTACAAAGGAATCCAAAGCTAACCTCACCCATTTAGAGCCTTTGAAACCTGTTATAATAAAATTGTAGAGGGAAGAGAGGACCCGGGTTGCAATTTCTGAGCAGATCTCATCTGGCAGTACTGTAGTAGCACCCAGTTAGAAGTGGCTTAAAGCAGCACTTACAAGATGGTAAATGACAGTAAAGCAGTTATTTATTTCTGCAGTTACGTATTTCTACCTGATAAATATGAACATTAAGTTATAATACAAACAAAACGCATAAACTAGGCAGGTCCAAATAACAGTGTTCACTAAAAACTACTCACAACACACAAAGCCCTGTCATGGAACCATTGCCACATATACACAGTGCTGCCGCAACGGGCTTCTGCAAGAGGAGATGTGCCAACACTCCAGAGGAAAACCTTGAGACACTACTCACAGTGGGTCCAGCACAACACAACAGCAGAAAAAGGTGACTGTGAAAGGTATTCCTTGTGGCAACATGTTGGCATGACACGTTGGGTGAGTTCCCAATTAATTGTAATTTTTGCATGAAAATACTCTTTCAGTTATATAAACAGAAGTTACCAGCAATAACAAAACATAATGTCTGACTTCAGTTGATGCCAAATGTTTAGACACTTTATTGGACACCTGTCTCAATATTTGTTTCAGCTGTCACTGGTACAACTGTTCCAGATTTCATCTCTGCTGATGGTGAAATATTTGCTATTATAATGCCCTAAGCAAAGCTATTGATTGCTCACTCCTGCCTACTTTATATGGCTACAGCTAGATTCCAGTTCATAAAAACATGCTAACATCACCAAAGATAAAGAGTTTTGAACCCAAACAAAGCAGCCCCAAAACCCGTAAGAAGCAGCCCAAGTTTATTACAAAGCACACCTAGAGGCCTATGTTTGCTGTCAGACAAGCTGTAAGACTTCCTCTAGGAACTGCTCTAAATTTGGGCTAATAATTTGTAACATTAAGTAGTGATAGTTCCACATGATACATACAAAGAAAATTTTCCTTGCTTGAAATGTGCCAGAAAATATTGTTCTGAAGCTATATATATAAACATTAAAATGAGTAAAAATATTGTCTTGTGATTTTTTTCAGTTTTAGGGATCTGATGGAAAACTAAAGTCCTTTTCTGAGGTTTAAGAGAGAACGTAAACACAGATTTTTTTGTTCTTATTTATATTTATACAGACTTAATGAAACTAGCTTATCTACAGATGGAAATACAAAGTCTCTAGATCCTAGAATTTCTGATTGCAATTTGGTATCTAACTTCTTTATATTCTCACCCTAGTAAGGTTTCTACAACAGCACGTATTTTCACCCTACAAAAAGGCTTCAAATAAACCCAAATTAACTAATGGGCAGCGATGCTAATAAACTAAGGAGTAAAATGCCAGTGTCACCTAACAACTAAGACTTTACGCTTGAATCATTTGTGGAGCAAGAGTTTTTTTATCAAAAGCAGTTCTTCCTCTGTACAGTATTTCATCCATTGCCAAAGCTGAATATTGTATTAATGCAATTTTAAGACTGTGGATGACAGAAATCAACAAGACACAGAATTTAAATAAAGTAGCTATTTTACACCCTCAGCAGTTACCTTCACATTTAAATGCAGAATTATGTAAGGCTGGCATTTCGATGCAAAAATGTTCTCTCACCACTTCTCCAAGCAACAGGGAAGTTTCTGTAATTACAGGAGATTCACTGGCAGGCTTGCCACCTGCAGTGATGCCAAACAGGAATTTGTGACAGATCTGCATGCTGGTGAGTTCAGAAACAAAGTCTATACAAAGGCAGCAGTGTACTACATAATAGAGTATGCTAGTTATCATAGCATTGCACAAATAATAAAAAAGGTAATTTTAAAACTAATTCACTAGTCTTACCATGTCTATGAATCAAGTAGGTATTTCACTCCCCATTTGTTGGAAAGAAGGAAAAAAAAAAAACAAACCAAAATGCAACCAACCTTCTTCTAGCTTTACTCCTGACTTCCTGCAAGCCCATCTGAGGGGCTCCACAGGTGAACTCGGGCAATCACCTGTTACAAGTGAACACATCCTAGCCCAAGGTGAATCATTAGGGAAGACACCAATAACTGGAACAGAACTGAAAGTCTGTTTTTGCTTTTTGCACCATCTGGAATTGGAGATAGCATGAACTTAATTCTACAGGGGCCTCCCCCTCAGACAGACCAGTATATTCACCACAGTAAATAAGCATCTTGGGGAACTCTTCTTACTCTGCATGTAGGCAAAGGATAACTAGAGCAACATCACCACTTGATTACATGTAAGTTTGTACATGGCTTTTTCTCAACTCTTAGCCCATCAATAACCTAAATATTCATCTGAGATTCTTACATCAGTAACTACACCATCAACCTCCATCCTTTACCATGCTGCCCTGCTTCACAAGAGTTGCAGCATACCTGGTTTATACTGTTCTTTCCCTCAGTCCAATAACCTTAACTGAACTACACCCAACTTGCCCCTTAGAATGTGATTCACCAGAGGGTATCTCTTCTTTTTAAAATGTGTAAATTATGTAGTGACTGCAACACAGTACTGATTAGTGCTAAATTCACGATTACAGCACTGCAGAGCAGAGCCATGAGGGAAGCTCAGAGTACACCACAGCTCCTGTTACAGGTAGACCAGGTAGCTGTACTGTGTGGCGTATTGGATAATATGGTATGTGAACCACTAATAAAGGCACTGCTGCAATTATGAGGGTCACTGTTACCTAGCAAGAGCTGCTTCTTCCGGGATCATAAGAGAAATGTCAAGGGAGAAGAGGGAACATACAACATTTCAGTCAGGCCTTTGCTCCCACCCTGTCACTATATTTAGACCCTGCTTCTTCTGCAGGCAGTGGACTGCAACCTGTCAGCTTAAAGTTTGCATGAGAGAACAGTGGCTTTGAATCTGTTTTGAAAAATATTTCCAGTGTCATCTTTCATTTTTTCCTCTGCTTTGTCTTCAATTACTTACTTCCTTTGTGCTTTGGATTCCCTGAGTTTTTACAGAGTTCTCACATGGCTTATTTACTTTTAGCCCTAGACATCTTAATCCTGCAATGTTTCTATGTCATTGCTCTCATCTCCACATTTCTTGTTTAGTAACTTTTATTTTTATTTTTTTTTCCTAAATCTTGCCCTTTTATCAGTAGGGTTTAGAATCAAAGTCTTGTCTCAGTACATCACAAAAGATTTTCATACTATCAGTATACAAACTAGGCCAGAACCAACATTATTCCTTGTCTCAGAGCTTGTGCAGCAGATACTGAACTTTACACATGCTTACCAGCTGACAGATACGAATCATGACACTAGGACAATGTGCCAAATCTGCCACTAAACCATGTCCTTAAGCACCACCTCAACACATATTTTGAATACCTCCAGGGATGGTGACTCCTCCCACCATTTCCCTGGGCGGCCTGTTCCAGTGCTTGATAACTCTTTGAGTAAAGGACTTTTTCCTAATATCCAATCCAAACCTCTCCAGCACAACTTGAGGCCATTTCCTCTCACTTGTTAATTGGGAGGAGAGAGCAACACCCACCTTGCTACAACCTCCTTCCAGGCAGTTGTAGAATGATAAGGTCTCCCCTCAGCCTCCTTTTTCTGCAGACTAAACAACCCTAGTTTCCCTCAGCTTCTCCTCATAAGACTTATGCTCTAGACTCTTTATCAGCTGTTGCCCTCCTTTAGATGCACATTTAACTTTAGAAGTTAAACATTTTAAAGAAAATAATATTCTACCAAAGAAAATCATAACCTGCTCAAGGTGCTAAGTCATTGCTTTGTTATCCAATAACCAGAAACCCTACCATTCTGATTATTAAATACATTTTCCACTGTTACTCTATACTTTAAAAACAAGGGAAAAGAGAGTATGGCCCAGAGCCATAAAAAGGGCTACATGCAAAGACTCCCACAGTAACTTCCACGAAAGTTATTCTTCAAACCAATGCTCATTTTGAATCAGTACGAAAAGGAAGGAAAGGAGGAGCAGTGTATGGCCAAGAAAGGAAAGGTAATAAGTAGTATTACTCCATAGTAACATGGAGTAAAAGTTGTCAGGTCAGGAAAGAGTGAAATACCTCCAATTTCTGAATTCCAAGAGCCACTGTGAGTCATAAGAAACCATAAATCCTCCTGGAAAATTTGGAACAAAACAGCTGATTTTCAGGGTTTTGAAAATGCTGCATCATGTACATTTGATTTGATCAAAGATCATGAAGAGTGTCCTAGGAAATTAAGTTTTTTAACTTTTCTACTAACACAAATGAACGTTAGACAAGTCATGACAAAACCCAAAAGCATATACATACTTTACTACACCTTTTCCACATTAATAAAGAAATTAAAGAATTAAAAATACAGGAGAACTTGTAAACAACCAGAAAATAAAATGCATAGGAATGAATGAAGAAAACCCCTCTATATTGTACAGATCTTCATGTACTAGGCAGTCCCAAAGTCAATCACAGATTCAGTTATGTACACAAGCTTAAACGTAAGTGGCAGCATTTTATTACTGTGTATGTTTTTTCTTTTTAATAATCTGAGACTGCCTTAGTTCCTCAGTCCCATGAGCATATGGGCAAGATTCAGAAGGCAAAGAACAACCATCAGGATGATGAATGAAAAACCAACAGAGACGTGTTTTAAATGCTTCAGCTGAAAGGCGGCGTTTCACTTCAGGCTTAGTTTTCCTTGATGGTTTCTCTTTTCTCCAGTCACGAATATGAACTCTCCCATTTAGAACTAAGATTTAAAAACAAACAAAAATGCAGCTGTTAATAGACAGCTATGGGAATTATACTGGAAAAAATGAATACTGACATTCCGTGAATAACGTTCCGTTCTACAAATGAATCACTCAGGCAAAACCAAATGTGTCATTTGTACAGACATAGAAAGGAGTGCAAAACAAACCAAGATAATGTAGAGACAGTCTAAAGAAGTGATTGATTTCCCTGTGAGATGTTTTACTGGGATGCTGAATAGTTTGAGGCACCTTTGTATCATCTTTGTAGAGATTTGTTTATTTCTGTTAAATGTAGCAGTTAGTATCATTTAGACTAAGACTAAAATCCTGTGAATTTAGATTGCAAGTCCTGACAAAGAAGCTTCAAGAACTGTAATCCTTCTTGTGTTGGATACTTTATTACTCCATACTTAAAATGTGATTACCAGCAAAAATCTAGTAAGTCATCTACTACTTTCACTACACAGAAATGCTCTTGCAAAGACAGTGGTTCACTGTCCCAAAAATACACTGCACCAAAGAGATGAAAAGTCTAAACCCTTCATATGAATCAACTGTGAATTATCATTGGTTAATAAAGATTCAGCACTTTGGGTTTTTTTCAATTAATTTGCTGTGTTAGGACCATAAACTGCACACACATTTGTGAACCTCTGTCAACTCCTTAAATGTGTAAACAAAACCAAATAAAAGAAAGCTAGTAAGAGATAAAGAAAATATGTAGATGAAAAACAAGAATGAAAATAAGTACAATCTGCCACTTCCAAGTTGCCCTGCTTTATTTTCATATTCTGCTTCAATCGTACCTTCTGTATCACACACTTGTAGCTTGGAACAGTAAACTGATACCATTCTGCATTCTGACAATTGCTATCCAAAAGGTAACTAGTCCAGTGAAAGCTTAATATCATACATTCAGGCCTGGATTAATTCATCCCTCCAGGTTTCCCTATGATAGACAAATAGATCTGAACTCATATAAAGCCAATCCAGAAGTGGGTTCAGCAGAGCTTTAAAATCTCTCTCAAAAGATACAGAAAAATTAGTAGATATACTGCTATTTATGATCAAGCTTTTTTTTTCTCCTAGAAAATCCATCCTGCATTGGAGAAGATGCCTGATCAAAAGAAACTACCACAGATAGTTACTCCGAGCCCCTTCATTTTTGCATGTGTGTGTGCATGTTTTCCATGTCCTTAAAAGACTTCAGTAAAGATGACAAGAGCTGTAGCCATGTTCTTCTCTGTCCTCTTTGACTTAAGCAATGTCCTTACAGCCACCTGCTGACAAATCCTTTGTTATGGTGACATGCCACTAAAGAAGAAATGGTCTCTACTGAAGCCCCAGGGAGTTTCCACGTGATGTAAATTATGAAGAAAGATCTGCCCTTAATCCTAGTCTTTATTCAGAGATAATGTGCAGACAGCATCCATGCCAGATTAAAATGCTCATTCCATGTAACAGGTTGTAAGTCTATTCCACCTATCCCTAATTACAGGGTATCAAATTCAGACACATAATGAATGCAGTGTAAGCAATTCTTTTCAATGGATGGTAATTCAAAAGGATTTTAGGATGGCTTCACATTTTATAATTGTCAAGTGTACAGAAATCCTTAGTGGATACTAAACTTGGCTAAATTAACCACTGGCAGCAACTAGGTTACACAGTCAGGATTATTTACCATGGCTTAGTTGATCAATAGTTTACAGCTGATACAGAACTGTTGGGACACAAGAAGTTAACACACTTTCAAATTTGAAGTAGCCTTAATACTGATAAAACCTTGAAGATCTTGTATTACTGAAAAGCTACACCTTACTTTTGAAAAACTCCACAATGACAAAAAAAACCCCAAACCACACAAAACATAGCACCACATTACAACAGAAGAAAACAAAACACTGCAATCAAAAAACCCCACCAACCACAGAAACTTGTTACTGAGTTCTTTCTGCCATGCTACCACAGGCTACATAAATACATCAAGCCTCACAGTTACAGGTTCTTACGGAGACTAGTTTTAATTTGTGTCAGCATTTATACTTTGGGGCTTGGTAAGGCCAGACTAAATATCAGTTAAATGCTTTAGTGATCTTGCTCTGCATTTGACAGCCCCAAAATTATCAATACTTTATAGGAAAAATAAGAATTCTCCAAGTCAAACAATAGCATCAGATTAGCCACTTTAAGCAAAAGGTTGCCTTTTCAGATACAATCAGTCTAGAACACTGTTGATAGATACCTCACCAGTCTCATTCAAGAGTTTTACTAATAGTATCTTGGAGCAATAGGCTCATAGAGAATATTCCATTTTCCACAAAGGTATAGAAAGCAGTTAAAACCCCCCACGACCATAGTAATTTTTCAGTTGAGTTTAACTGCATATAGAGAAAACAGATAATTAAAGAAAAACAAAACAAAACCCAAACCCCCTTCTTTACCTTCAAATACTTGATGATTGTTCTTGAGCAGTGTCTGCAGGCCTCCACATTCACTCTTTAGCCTTTTTAATGTCTCTTTATTTAAGTGTTCTGCTACTTCTTTCAAGGAAAGGCTTTCTGCAAGAAATGATGATATAGCTATTAAAAATGTATATATATAAAATCCTAAGAAAATTTATCTTCTATATAAGTTAATGATTATGAGCAGAATCCATTAATTATCTACCAGTACTGCAGAAACTTTGTACTCCCACTATCATGCATAAGATATATTTTATATGAATATTGTCTGTAAAATAGCAATTGTCATTCTACAGGACTCAAGTCAGAATTTCCACAGTAAGACACATTTTTTATTTTCCCTGATTTTCTTACAGTAGCATATAACCCTCATTGCGATGAGCACTGATTACATGCATGTTAGTTAGATAGCAGAGAGAATGACACAAAGGATCTCCTTTAACAATAATATATGACAAACTACAGCAAGTAAATAATAAAAATGCACAGAAAATAGAAAAATTACAGTAGTGAGAACTGCTTGTAAAATTAACAGCAAGTTCTATTCTTTTTCTTCCTCAGACTAAACTGAAAGCTCCTATTCATGTCATAATCAAATGGACTTCAAACTACTACTTAGACAAGTCTCACAGAATTATAGCTAATTATTATGTGACTATCCAAAAATAAACCTGATGTTCTTCCCAAGTAGATGTAGAGTGTTCTGTTTTGGTAAATGGGGAAGAGTTCTGGGTTGGGTTTGTTTTTTTTTAGTAAAAATTGATTCTGTCCTTGTATTTAAGTGTAGAGGGAAAAAAACCTACACCAATTTCAAGATATTCTTATATGCCTTATTTGGATCCTAGTGTGCAATAAAACATAGCAAAAGAAAAAGCCTTTGATTGCTACTATGCTGTCCTTGGTATTTCCTAAAATCTATTTAACTTACTAAATTCACAAACATGTAAATTCATTGGAAAAGACATCCTCTACTGATGCCTTAAACAACAAGGAGAAAGACACCTTCCGTTACACCTTTGAAGGTCACCCTGGTATGATTGGTCTGTCTTTGCTTAACATGTATCAAACCTTCAAAACAAGCAGACACTGGGCTCAGAGAACCTGGAGTCTTGCAGTCAGAACCAACCAACTATATAGAAGAAAAACAAGTGTGTAGGTTAACCCACACTGTGTGTGCCCCAGAGGAAAGTTCAACTAAAGGACATACCTGAAGACCAGCAAAGACTCCCAAGAAAGACCCTAAGAGATTTAAAGTGCATGTGTAATTAGGATGCAAATATTACAATTAGTTCCAGGAAAAAGAGTACGTGTAACTCTTCCCTGAAATCTAATGCATATGTAATTGTTGAGCAGTATAAGCTCTTTTGGCATGCACATTAGGCAGTGATCCCCAGTGCATACAGCACTGCAATAAAAAATGCCTACCTTCTAGAACTTCAAAATAAGACTTAGAGGGTTCTTTTGTGACCAAATTTACAGTAACACTACTAGCAAAAGCAAAAGATAACGTAAAGGAAAGATGGCCTCACCTCCTTGATTCCAGGTATTTGTATTTCCAGCGTGTGTATTAGAACATGATTTCTGGGGGGTTGCATTTAACAGCAAGTTTGCCACACTGAGAACCACATCATCTACAAAATCACGAGGGAGGGAAGCACAATTTCTAATTTGTTCTACTTTTTCTCTAGGTTGAAATCCAGGCATCCAAGTTGTTCCAGCAGTCTCAGTCTCATTTTCCCAAAGTTCTGAACCTGCTTCTTCATATACACCATCAGAGTGGTCCTTATGATTAAATCCAACTCTTCTGTCACACGTGACCACAGCACAGGTCTGACGATTATTAATATATTGTGTTATCTGCTTGTCAATCAGAGAACATTCAGTGGGTGGATAGGTCCTTTTTTTTCCAATAAGGCTTACCTATTTTAGTAGAAACAGGTAAATTACTATTTATACTGAGTCCCACGCTTAAACACAGTAATCCAACCTGCATGTCTTACGCAGGCTTCTAAATTTACCTACAGGAGATACTAATTCAAACTCAATGCTCATTAACATCTGAGGGATTTTTTAGTTGTTGAATATTGGTGCTACAGAAGAAATCCAATAATCAAACCATAATCCATCAGGGCATACAAGCACAGAGTAAACAAGACTGAGGGTCAGGAGCAGATTACATACAAAATAAGATGGACGCCTCTTCCTACTCTAAGAACATTTTACTGTGAATTTCATGGGACATGAAAACCAGCAAAATTAAGTACAAATAATCAACATGGACAGGTGGAAAAATTAAGGCAAAAAATGGGTTTTCAGTTTTCCATCCTATAGTGTGGCATAAGAAATAACCATAAAACCTTCCATTCTTTCTTGTCTCTAGGAGTGTACCTATGACATTAAGAGCACAATACCCAAGAAAACTGAGTATTTTTAAGTCTCTCTTCAGAACATATTCGCTCAAGTAATGTGACTGTAGTCTGATCTTACAACAATAATGAACAAACATCCACATACTTCAGCTTAAAAAAAAGAAAAAAAAGCCCTACACAGTCCAAAATTACCCTTTTTGTAGATGGAATCCTAAGACAGTCTTCTTCCACATGAAAGCCGCATACAAATCCCACTTGGGCAACAAAATCAAGATATTCTCTGTACTGAGTTTTCTTGCTTTGTCTTCGGCTGTATTTTCCATGGAAATCAAAGAAGCAACATGGCAGCACAAAGTAGCAACATGAATAGGAAGACCTACAAAGGATAACAAAAGTGCTGAATGGAAAGTTATTTCAGAGAACACACAAATTTAACAAATAACCCATCAGATACCCAATATAAAAGCAATATATAACCCAAATACAAGCAATAATAGAAATTTTTATTGACAGAGGTTTGTGAAATAGTATTTATACGTTCCTCTTTCAGCAGATCTATTAGCATAATCAAAAATACTGTTTCTCAAAGTATTTGCTATAGCAAATTACCACGTCAACTTTCTTTACAGGACCCAATCACTAGTTATTAAACTACTGTAGCTGTCTGTGAAGAACACAATGGTTCAAAGAAAGGCAAAACCAACAATTTTATTTTAAAAAAACCACCACCAGCAACAAAAATCAAATAACAGATTCACATTTAAAGAATAAAAATCATTCTGGTTTTTGAACTCCAAAAGCAAAATGACATACTGAATTGTATGAGAAAGTAAATACTACATTTGCGCTTGTCCACAGAAGAGAATATTTTTTTTAAAATCAATTGGCATCAAAAGCAGGAAGTCCTGCAAGGACAGCAGGTGTGGCTGCAACAGTGACAGTTTTCACCAAGACCACTGTTTTGGTTTTTTGGGGGTTTTTTTGTTTGGTTTTTTTTTTTTTTTTTGCAATTGCTTCCCCCTCACTCCCCTCCTGCAAATACCTAGCTGCAATTACAGGTATCCATGGTGTTAATTCATCTGAATGGTTTCCTATGAGCCAGTCAGTATCTGGAAAGAGATGACTGTCACCTGGCACGATGGTAGATTCCTAAAAAACCAAAAGATACATTAAGTGAATTTTATTACAGGTTTCTTTAAATGCATTTTATTTGTTAATAAAGCACTAAGCAACAATCTTAAATCATACAAGCTGACAAATACAAGGTGAATGAGAACTGCAGATGCCAACATTTTCCTCAATCTGCATTTTTGACAGGTAGTAATTTTTTATAGCTACGAAGTATTAATTTAACAACAGCTACCCACAAAATGTTGGTCAAAGAGCAGAATAACTATTTTGATTAAGGTATCTGGCACCCTGAATATCTGTAAACAAATATCATACATTGGATTATGATTTCTTGCTGTTCTCATTCTGTCACATGTATGTCTGGACTCAATTTTTCAGAAAGCCGCTTACTTTGCTATGTCTCACAGTCCTAGGACCCGTACAGCAGTTAATCAGAACGGCTTCACTATCATCTCCTCTTCTTATGGACTCTTCCCAAATCAAATCCTAACATAGAGAACACCACTCTTCACACCCTATCATTCATGTATTATAAACCTATTCCAGCCTAACACCTTCCCTTGTCTATGCTGCCATTCCATTCCCTTCCAAGTTGTGTCAGGATTACCCTATAATACATGCAAAATCAGGAGCAAAATTAGGAAACAACAGGTTAGAGAAAGAAGGCTTCTTTGGTGGCTTTTAGAACAGTATTTTGCCTCATGGAAATTCAATCAATAAACATGGATTAAGACGACATCATCACAGAAGCATTCCCATCACAATTCTGACTCACATTAGTCTCAAGAATATCCTATTCTATTATTCTTAAAAAAAAACCCCAAACAAATCCCCAAAAAACAAACCCAACCACCAAACAGGATGAATTTTTCATAGAAGTTAAATTTTAAAAGTTCTACAGTGCTTTTAATGCACGCACATTTTCTTACCTTAAACTAAGTTCAGCAAAGAAATTTCGAAATTATGTTGATACCTCAGAAGTACATACTGTTCTCTAAGAACATGTATGAATCTTAAAATAATTATTGGGCAGATCTATAAAAAAGCTTTAAATTTGAGTCTCTACAGACCTTTAGGAAAAACCCTGAAAATGATACCCACACTCTCTTTTTACAGACAAAATGCATGTTTTTATGAAGTCAAAATTCACATGTATATGCAAAGTAGTATCTGTGTAGGAATTAAAAAACCAAACCACACTTATTAGGGAAATTCAGGAATCTGAGACTACCTCCATTACATTCCAATTCTCTTCAGAAAGCACTGTTAGGTGTTGTAAGTATCAGTATGATTTATTATTGTTCACTTTAAATACTACATCTCTGACCATTTCTATTTACGTATATATGTATATTTCTAGATAATATATGTACCAAATTTCTTTTTGGCAGGTTAGTAGATGTTAAACCAAGTGTTTGATAAGTGTTTTCTTGGGGTTGATTAAACAAGTTACTCCTACGTTATATTCTAATTTTGATCATTCAATTTAGGCATAGCATGAATTATCTGTGCCACATTCCACATTTTGACAGTCACCCATAATCAAATTTGTATTCACCATGTCTGACAGCAGTTTGGCAATGCAGAGTGCCACCTGTTACATTTATTTATATTGTTAGTATTGGCACTGAATGTCACAGATGGCAATATTCATCCTGCAACTCATGCTTTAAGATCAAAACAAAATTAGCTTCGAGGGTAACAAAAGGCTGTGAGCAGGTGCTTTCTCCTTCTGTGGCTCCAGGAGCCTTGAAAATAATTTTGCCCTTCTTGTTCATTATATAACTCCTTCCTACATAAATCAGTACTTTCCTTATATGAACATTTTGGGTATTTTTATTGTTTCTGAACGCTTGTTTCTGTTCCCTGTGAATGATTCTTTTTTTTGGTCTTTTTTAAAAGACAAATAAATTATACCCATCCTTCTCTATTTTGATCCCTCATGCTGCAGAGAGGGACAGCTCAGAAGCTTCCCTATGAGTCAAGAAAACTGAGAAACTGTAAGCAGCCAGACCTTAATATGAAGTGAACGTACAAAATTTAAAGATTTCCACAATACAGAAATGTGGGCAGAAAAAGGAATATATAACATGAAGGAAAAGAGAAGATGCTGTTTGGTACAAGCAGAAGTGACTTAATGTAGTACAACAGGAATGAAGGAGTATGACAGCTTGCTGTTTTGGATTGTCTCTTGAAGTCTTTCAGTAAGATCTGGTTGCAGACTGCAGCAAAGAAATCTGGTAGTTTTGGCAATCTGTACCCAAAATGGCATGGTAGCAAAGAGAAGGCTGCACAAGACTGTGAAACCTCCACCTCCCATCTGTGAAAACCACTGCTCTTTTGTTGACTTAAGTTGCTAGCATTCAAAGATATGTTAAACTAACTTTTAAACCAAATGGCTAGAGGATAATTACAGGTGGAAAATTCTTCTAATATACTGGAAGCTGACAATTTTTGAGAGAACAGAGTGAGAAGTTTTAGGAGTGCAGAGAACAAGAAACCAGTAATACCTCACTTCTAATGGGTACCTGCTCATCAGTGCCACAATTTTAACAAGTATCAGACCAAGAATAGCTGGAGTTAAAGTGAATGTTTCTGTGCTCAAATTGTTCCTGCCTTCATAAAAATGCCAATGTAAAACTTGAAATATAATCCCTCTTTCAGATTCATTTTCCTGTTCATTTTTTTGAAGGCTATTACTGCAATTATTTACCACAAGGTCAGTACAGCAGGATTGGCTCCTTTGAGGTTCAAGAATTTTATCCCCAAAAGAGCAGAAGGCACTAGAAGGTCAGAATCACTTTCAAGAATAAAATTACTCACAACTTTAGATACTAATATCTTTTATGAGGTGGTGCAAACAAAGCTGCTTAATATTGATCTTACAGTAAAATCAAAAATTGTTTCAATGGTGTGCATATCTGTACATGCAGTAGGAAATCACACTAGTCTTCTCAGATGGAAAGTAAGATGCAAAATACGAGAGTATGATACAGCATTGCTCTCATAATTCCCTTTACAAATTTACAGTCCCATAAGACATATGGGTGGCATCATACTAAACCCATAGATCACTTTAGATAACTCTCTGCAACCTGGTATGTTTAATTACATTTGTATCAACACAACTTGGAAGCAATGAAAAAATGAATAGAGTTACAAATCAGCAAGATTGACATACTTTTGCATAATACCTCTAAATGAGTTTCCGGTCCATACATGTCCCATATTTTTCTTCTCCTTACATCAATTCCTCTACCTGAATGCTGAAACATTCGAACAACAAAAAGTACCATTTGTAAGTACTACTTATAGCAGAAATTGTCAAACAGACTCGCTAAATGGTACATATTAACACTGCTTATTTTCATACATACTAAAATTTAGACATGTAATGAAACACAACTTCACTATTTCAGGCAGAAGCTGAATACTTTTAATCAATTTTCTTCCTTTCTAAATATGAAGGGAAAGACTAGGAAACATTAAGAATGTATCTGGTTTGAAATTTTACCTGGGCATACCTACTGGTAGAGTGACAAAATTCCATTTTAGCAACATGGATTAACTTAACTTTGGATATATTTGCATGCCAGATAAAAGGAAATCATAACAAGAATATTGACTATCTCTGGGTTTTCATTATTTTTTTTAAAACCCCCTCTGTTTACCCCTTCATTGTTCAGAATATGAACCAGTAGACCATTTCCACATCCAAGATCTACAAATGACTGTTTCTTGGTCAACCCTTTCTCCTTTCTCTCTTCTTCCCACAGAATCTAAGACAAGAAAAAAACATTTTAGACTTTTGCTCTCAAGTTTCCCTGTAAGAAAGCAGCAAAGGTTATTGGGAATTAAAAGAGAACGCTGGGAGAGAATGCAGAAGACATCCAGTGTACTCACAGAGAAAATAACTTTAAAGGAGAAAATAAAACCAATACAAAACCCACTAAAACTGTTTATGGAGAGTGGCAGGAATTATGTTGCAAAGTATCAATCATTTTCTAAGTGCTAAGCACATCCTCCACTCTCTTCCGAGTCCCTGTAAGTTGAAATTAATCAAGACTATACAACCCTGGACTAGACTGCACATAAATGTGACATATGCTGCTAAAACAAAGGGTGAAACAGATGAACAGAGGATGCAAGGGAAGTAGCAAGTAAACTTCAACAGTGTCTCTGCAAGTAACACCACAGAAGCATTTATATCCACCATATTAAAGAAAGAATTGGTGGCAGAGCTGAAAATAAACCCCAAAATGTTATCAGTTGACTGTATATTGGTAAACTTTCTACTGAACAATGTGTAACTTACCTAGCAACAGCTAGCTGCCCCAAATTCTACATCAGCTAAAGGGACCCCAAAGCTTTTAGCCCAATTCTAGGCCCTGCTCTAGCCCCATACTTCTACAGTTATGCAATTCATAATTAGTTAATAATTGGATGTTTGCCTGTGTCAAACTGTTCATAAACAAAAAACTGATTGTAAAGAGGATGTCTCAAACAACTCGAGTGGGGTGCCCTGTGGGGGAGAAGTGGAGCAAGCTCTGTGGAGGTGGAGCAGTGGGCGGTTTCTCTCCCCCTCCCTCCTGTTGTTGCCCAAGAGACAGAACTTGCCTAACTGCGCAGGTACGAGCCAGAGAAAATGAGAACCTTCTGAAACAACCTACTGTGCATGCACAAGAGAGACAATATAAAGGCAACATCCCACGTGTGTCTTGGTCAAATCACCACCTATGGACCAAGCTGGCTACTCTGCAACAACATGGGATCCAAGGATGGCAATTTCCCCTTTTCCTATCCCCTACTCCCCTCTCTCTCTTTCTTACATATTTTCATGTGTATAAGTTTCGTAGGAATTGAATTGCGATCGGTTGATCATTGGTGGGTTATTAGGAAAACAGTCTCATCACCAAAGTGCCTTTATTTGTTCCCAGGATGGTTATAAATCGATGGTTGCCAGATCGTCTCCATTCCCTTACTAAAGTGGTCAGTTAATAAAGTCACCAGCACAGTTGTTCCCCTGAGCTCTGAGTCACTGTGGTGACTCGGCCTGCCCTGCGGCTCTGCCCAGCAGAGACCGGCTCTCCCACCGGCATGCAGGTTCTTGGGGAATTCAAAAGATTCACCTCCCTTGTAACCCACTGCGTGGGATGAGACAGTCTGCAGGCACGGATTAGTCGCTTTCTATCACTGTCAAACCTTTTCCTTCAGTGAGAAGCTACAGAGCACATATTAATCAACCCTGCACGCTTATTTTTTACTATGACTAACAAAAATCCTCAAGAGTATTTAACCATGAAAATTAGTATTTGTCACATTGCTACGTGTTAATTTGGGAATTTTGGTAGGGGGAAAGAAGCTGCAGATAACCCATGAGATTATCAGGCTGTGTCTACATTTTTACATGTACCAATCATTGCATTCTGCACCCTAGGCTGTATCCCAGAAATCCTTAATCATCTCCTACACAGATCACACTCATCCTCCCTTTCTTTCTGAGTTTCTCATGATGCAAACTGAATAGATACTGCTTTGGGCTTGTGCCTGAACAGTAGGTGACCTTTCAAAGTCAAATGAGGTCGGGTGTAGATGCTGTAAATCCATAAAAGTTTGACACTGGACCTACCTTCTCTTAACCAGCTGTTTAACATACTTCTAAGTAGTGAGTTACTATATACCATCGTATAGAGACCCAAAAATTTTGCAAAGACACTCAGTTATTAATACTATACTTTAAGCTGTTATATATATGCCACTTACTGCATGACTTCAGTAACTTTTTGAAAAATACTATGTCATCTAAAACACATTATCACCATAAACTAACACTTGTGCATAAAAATTCTATCATTACAGAGTTTTCTTGTGGCTACAAATTATCCAATTTTCAACATGTAACAGATAAATCTATTATATAATTCTTCCCACATGCCAGTATCATAGATTAGAATAGTTCAGTTGGAGGGGACCTGCAACAACCATCTAGTCCAACTGTATGACCACTTCACCATGATCATTTCTCTGATGTAAAAAGTTCAGTCAAGATTTTGAGAGTAACCTAGGTCAGTCAGCCTTCCTCAGACAATTCTAAAAATCTTCATGGGAAAAGAAACCAGGCTTCTAGGTTTAAACAGTCAATTATAAAAATAAATTAGTCCTCAGTGAGTTCTGTAAAGGATTTAACTTACAAATACTGATTTAGAAAAGATGCAAGAGGTATCTACATTATGCTTCAAGGTTGACATGTTCTTGCCACACTCTGGATAGCAGTCAAAAATATTTGATGTGCCTACATAGTGACAAAATTTGATGCTGTTTAAAAGCCTGAAGTTTCTATTGACTACAGGTCACCGAATTTTCACAGATTCTTAAGTAGGTAGGTGACTTTAAAAACTGCACCAAGCATTTATCTGCACTCCTCGCCGCTACAGTTGGCTTTACTGTATTTGAAGACAGGATTTGAGCTGAACGTTAATCAGAGAAAGGCATTGCATTGAAAAACCTTTAGCATAAAATTAAAAGATAGAAATATGTGTAAAACAATAGCTTCTGATCTCCAAATTGGTCCATCTAACCAGTATTCTTCTGATACATCAGTGCTTTTCACGTCATCATTTAAGAAAAACGCAAACCAAACTATCTTGTCTGTGTAGGTCATAAATTTCCTGTGACAGAGGACTGCAAATCTTTCTAGCAATCTTCACAGAGAAGTTTTAGTATTCCTCTAAACAATTTTCATGGTTATTGTGCTGATCTTTGTGGTACAGGGCAATATGAAAAACCAAATCAATTTCTTTTCCCTTTGCTTTGTCACATTAATTTTTTTCCAATTCTGTTATAAAATGCCTACCTCCTGTAATCACTTATACATGAATCCCTGAAATGCTGTTGAGGGTACTACGAAAAAAAGATCAGAATACAAACACAACTTGAATAGCAACAGGCATGAATTCCACTTGCGGTTTAAGTTATGCTGGAAAACACTGTGGTAAGAACTTTGCTTCTCCGCTTAAATGAGAGGAAAAAAAAAAAAAAAAAAAAAAAAAAAAA